ATCACACAAATTCAATTAGAATTTTAGGGGGTTGTGGTATCACAAAGTTTGAGAACCGATGCTGTACAGACTAACTCAGCTACCCCTCTGAAGCTGATAAAGAAAAAAATTGAAACCTTTTTGTGTTGTACATAAATTAATATTTTATTTTATTTAAAATGACATTTGATTACGAGTTAAAATACTCAATCTGTTTAATAATTTAAATTAAGCCATTCTCTCTAGCTGCAGCACTAGAAAAATGGCTCAGGTGAAATGATGTAATTAATGGTGAGTTTGCATTAGCAACTGGTGATCCATGGAAAAGTTTGCATTGGCCTGTGCATCCCCTGGCTCAACATGGTTGAGAATCACTGAAATCCCTGAGAGACCTCCCCAGGCTCTCTCTTCCTCCAGAAGAGCCCACAGAGAGAGTAGGTATGTTACCACAGTGGTGAAATCGCTGTCACTCGGGTGTAGATGATGGTTTGGACGGAACCTTACAAGGAAGAAACCGGAAGGGAATGCCATCTACTGGAAGGGATGGGATGCGTAGTCCTAGAGATGGGGGTTCCACGGCCACCACCCCCAAAGGAAAAAGATGGAGGGTGGTGGTCGGGGACTCCCTCCTAAGAGGGACTGAGCCATCCATCTGGTGACTGGACCTGGAACCTCGAGAGGTGTGCTGCTTACCGGGAGCTCGCATTCAGGATGTGACTGAGAGGATTACCAAACTGGTCAAACCTTTGGATTACTACCCCTTCCTGCTTCTCCACGTGGGAACTAATGATACGGCCAAGAATGACCTTGAGTGGGTTACTGCAGATTATGTAGTGCTGGGAAGAAGGATCCAAGAATTCGGAGCGCAAGTGGTGTTCTCGTCATCCTCCCTGTTGAAGGGAAAGGACTGGGCAGGGATCGTCGAATTGAGGACATAAATGCGGGGTTGCGCAGATGGTGTCGCAGAGAGGGCTTTGGTTTCTTTGACCATGGGACTCTGTTCCAGGCACAAGGATTGTTAGGAAGAGATGGGATCCACCTAACCAAGAGAGGAAGGAGCATTTTCGCGGGAAGGCTTGCAAACCTAGTGAGGAGGGCTTTAAACTAGGTTCGTCGGGGGACAGTGACCAAAACCCTGAGGGGAGTGGGAAAGACGGATACTGGGAAGAAATGCAGAGAGGAACGAGCAAGAAAGGAGGACCCCTGATTCGAATGGAGAAGATAGGGCAATTAACTGGTTACCTGAGGTGTTTGTACACTAATGCGAGAAGCCTGGG